AAGAATTAATAGCTAAATTTAAAACCTATTATAAATTAAGTACTATATTTTATTTATAAATAGATAGATAAATAAAATAAATAAATTAAGTTATTAAAGTATACTTATAATATTATATTAACCTTTAGTAAGATAACTAGGTTAAAATATTACTAATTGCTTAGATGTAATATAATAGCTTTACTATAGAAACTATAGGAGTTATACTATTTTACGCTAACTATAGGTTTACACCGGAAGCCTATAGACTACCTTGCAATAGTCTAAATGCGGATAATATACACATTCTTATAGAAGATATAATTTAATTATAAGAAGAACTTAAAGTTTAGCTTAAATTCTTTAGGCAGCGCATAAAGGAATATGCTAATTAAATAAGGATTAAGGGACTAACCCTTTAAAAAGGAGATATAGTTTACTTATTATAATATTTATATAATAAAAAATTATTAAATATTAAAATAAATAGGCTAAGTAATAAATTAAACTTTAGGAAACTTAGATTATTTAAAATTTTAAAGAAAATTAGTGAAGTTAATTATAAACTAGACTTACTTAAAAATATAAGGTTAAAAATAGCTGTCTTTTATATATTATTACTTAAGAAAGCACTAGTGGATAAAGAAATAGGTAAATTAATTATAAATAAAATTATTATTTAAGATATTAAAGAAAAATATAAAATTAAAAAATTACTTTATATATAAATAAATAAAGAAATAGGAGAATAAGAATACTTTATAAGATAGAAAGGTTATAACTTTAGTGAAGACTCTTAGGTACTTAAAGTAAAACTTAAAAGGAACGCTTAGATAATTCTGCGGGAATTTTACTAGTCTTTAAGGGTGGAAATAATAATAGGTTTAGCTTAAAGGTAGACTAATTAATAATGTTAATGGACTAGGATAGATTAATAGTAGAACTAAGCATTAATAAAGCAGCTTAATAAGCGGCCTCCGCCTCCTTATACTTAATATAATCCAGTTCCGCTAAATTAGTAATTCCCTATGTAATAGTATGCTTTATCCTTTTATATTAAACTTATTTTTACTTATAAAGATATACTACCTTAGCAGCCTGTCATAACCTAACAGATAGATCCCTTATAAAACGCTGGTTCCGTTACAGTAATTGCTACAATAGCGATTATTGGCCTAATCTTTTGCCCTATTTGGCTTAACGGTATAACGGATCGTTACACGATAATCGCTAGAAGCTGGTGGCCTAGGGTTCGATTCCAGCTTGTTGCGTGTTGCAAGACCAAGAATTAATCTCCGCTGCTAATAGGGCTTTACGCACAGCGCTATAGGGAGCGTTTAGGTAATGCCTTAGGGGTTAGAACAGCTATTCCGGGGCTATAAAGACAGCTATAGGGCTTGAGGACAAGCCCACCGGGAGGGAAGAATCGTGTCACAACCTAACAGATAGATCCCTTATAAAACGCTGGTTCCGTTACAGTAATTGCTACAATAGCGATTATTGGCCTAATCTTTTGCCCTATTTGGCTTAACGGTATAACGGATCGTTACACAGCCGCCTTGGCAAGGATATCCTCCGCTTTCTTTAACTCTTTCTTTAAATAAAAATAATAGGAAGAAATATAATTAAGTTGATTAGGTATTAAACCTTAAATGTTATAATATAATTTATTTAAATAAATATACTTATAATAATATAATAAATTTAAAGATAAAATAATATAGTTAGTGTAATTTTTTAAAATATAGTTTAAATAGTGTGTGTTAGATTTAGCTGCACTAGATATTATAGCTCTTAGTAAAGAATTATATTGATAAGTCCTTTTATAAAGAGATTTCTTAATAACTTTATCTAGTATTATAAGGTTAGTAAAAATAGATAAAGAATACACTAAAAAAGAAAAATAGGACAGACACTTACTAAGTGGGGATATTATTACTTATACTAAGATTTACTAGGCCTTAGGGATAAGACTAATAGGAGGGGAGTATTATGTTATAACTTAACTCTTATAGTTACATTAACAGGCCTACTGGGTAAGTCTCGCTGGATTAATAATAAACCGGCATATTAATAAAGAGTAACTTATCGCTTTTATTAAATAAGTCCAGCGAGTTAACTTATTAAACTCATTAAATAAGTTTAATAAGTCTATTAACTTAACTAGATATATAAGTCCATTTCTCTACGCTTATTTAAATAACTTAAATAGCTAGTTATTAACATAGAATTAAGATTGTAATACGCTTTACACTGCTTATTATTTAATAATATTTATTATTACCTTTTACTATTGCCTATAAATCTCCTAACCCATTCGCTAATATAAACCATAGACTAGGTTTATCCCTTAGGAATCCCATAAGCCACTAACTATCTAAGATATTAGTGACCGGGTTGTCACAATATATTAATTAAATAAGGATTAAGGAATTAACCCTTTAAGAGAGAAATATAATTTACTTATTATAATATTTATATAATAAAAAATTATTAAATATTAAAATAAATAAGCTAAGTAATAAATTAAATTTTAAAAAACTTAAACTATTTAAAATTTTAAAGAAAATTAGTAAAGTTAATTATAAATTAAACTTACTTAAAAATATAAAATTAAAAATAGCTATTTTTTATATATTACTATTTAAGAAAGCACTAGTAAATAAAAAAATAAGTAAATTAATTATAAATAAAATTATTATTTAAAATATTAAAGAAAAATATAAAATTAAAAAATTACTTTATATATAAATAAATAAAGAAATAAGAGAATAAGAATATTTTATAAAATAAAAAGAATATAATTTTAATAAAAATTCTTAGGTTCTGGAAAAAGAACTTAAAAAGAATGCTTAAATAATTCTATAGGAATTTTACTAATCTTTAAGGGTAAAAATAATAATAGGTCTAAATTAAAGGATAACTAATTAATAGCATTAATAAACTAAAATAGCCTAATAGTAAAATTAAGCGCTAATAGGGTAGCTTAATAAATAGCCTTCACTTTGCGCTCCTTACACTTAATATATTTTAATTCCTTTAAGTTATTAATTCCCCGCTTAATTACTCTTTTTATTTTTTTAAATTACTCTTTCTTTTAAGTATAAAAACACTTTACGCATTTATTAGCCTTTAACTAAGCCTCCTTTACCTTATTTAATTTAAAATTAATATTAGCGCCTTTTATTACTATTTTTTATAACTAAGTTACTAATAAGCTAAAAGCCTTATAATTAAATTATTAAAAATAAATATAAGAAAAATAACGCAGTAAGTTTAATTTAAATATAAGATATTAAAGACTATACTTTTTATAGAATAAATAAAATTTTATTATTAATAATATAAGTAAAATAAAATACTTAAGTATATTACACTATAGGACTTAAGAAAATTTAAAATACTTATATTTAATACTAGCTATTTTATTAACTAAGGAAAAAAGATAAAAAAAATAAAAATAGCACTTATAAAATAATAAAGAAGAAATAAATTTAAGGATAAGGTTTTAAGGGCAAGACTAATAAAAGGGGAGCATTATATTATAACCTAACACTTATAGTTATAACTAAAGGCCTACTAGGTAAGCTAAAATAAAAGAATATATATTTATTTTACTAATTAAATATTACTTAATAAAATTTATTATTAAGTATATTAAGTATAACTTAATAAACTTAATTATTAAATATACTAAGGATATTTAGCTAATTAAATATATAAGTTTACTTCTCTATACTTATTAAATAACTTAAATAGCTAATTATTAATATAAAATTAAAATTATAATACACTCTACATTACTTACTATTTAATAATATTTATTACTACTTTTTACTATTGCCTATAGATCTCCTAACCCATTCGCTAATATAAACCATAGACTAGGTTTATCCCTTGGGAATCCCATAAGCCACTAACTATCTAGGATATTAGTGACCGGGTCGTCACACCTGGTTAATATTATCTAAATACCTCAATAGGACCTTTTTCAGCCATGTTTGAAATATCTCCTCATAAACCTCACTCGTTGACGGACGATGCGATTTACCAGCATCTCGACACGTCCCGATCGGAAATACGGCTGCTGGAGATTCTAACCTCAGAGCCTGATCGGCCTGTGGAATGCCGCCTTCACACAGTTTCTTTGGACGATAACCCAACCTTTGAGGCCCTTTCGTACGTTTGGGGGATGCGTCTAATACCGAAGATATCACCGTCAATGATCATAAAAAGCAAATCACAACAAATCTCGAGTTAGCTCTTCGTCATGTCAAGTCTCACTGTGAGCACTTCGAGCCTGGTCGAGAGTTCCGCTTGTGGGCCGATGCCGTCTGTATTAATCAGCAAAATATCGATGAGCGCGCTTCTCAAGTTCGACTCATGGGCTCTATATACCGGAGATGTCGGGTAGCACTCGTATGGCTTGGTCAAGAAGAACAGAATACAAAAGACGCCTTTGAATGTGCTCGTTATATCCACGAGCATGTCCCCATTCGACAACGGTTTCCATCCTTGACACCCTTCAAATCTCTTCCGGTCTCCTTTGCGCTAGTGAGGTTAGCATAGGTAGCTAGCTAGGTGGAAACTGTTGCCGCGGTAAGCTAGATTCAGCAGGAACTATAAGTAACTCTTATAAATCGCCAGGGCTTAGACAGTAGTAGTAGCTTATAATATATAAAAGCAAGAATAAAGAGCTCATAGAGCCTGGACTTAGGATTCGGATGTCATATTGGCCTGTTACCGCTAACGCGGGTGTTTTGTGACTCTACCTCTATCTCCTCGGTACGCAATCCACTCGAACCACTTTTCCCACCTAATTGATACAGTTTCAACCAATCAGGAGGTGAATGATCCGAGGTGACCAACAGATAAATCTTACACAACAAGAAGTTCAGGAACCGCCGACTCCGTTTTGCTTCTTAGACACATGGATCTAAAACTTATGACTCTCCGGAATTCTTCTTTTTCTTCTCCCTCCTTTTTGATACTTGTTCGTTTTCGCCTACTTCAATTGCTGCATGAACTTTTGCAAGCTGCTAGATCAGACCTGCTTGAAGAGAGTCATGGACGCGCCTAGTGTTCCGACCACAAATAAGTCCAAAAATCGCCGCAAAGTGAAAACAGGGTGTCTGACTTGCAAGTATGCGCTCTGTCTATCTTGAGTTAGACCAGCAATTCTGCCACAGTTCATATCACTGATGAATCGCAAAGAAAACGTCGAATAAAATGTGACGAGGGAAGACCTTCTTGTGAAAGATGTGTCTCAACAGGTCGTGTGTGTGACGGCTACGGAATTTGGGACGGTATTGCCTTAGCCCCGGGCAGCCTAAAATACAAGCGGGCAAGTGCGCTTTCAAACACCATTGTACTCTCGCAATTCCAAGGGGGTTCTAGGAAACCATATAGCATCGGATTCGAATACTTTCGCAAATATACTGTCACCAAGTTGCCTGGGGTATTTGAATCCGGCTTCTGGAGTTCGTTGGTATTCCAAGCTTCCGTCGAGGAACCTGCCGTTCTACATGCGGTAACTGCTCTTGGCGCAGCACATAGGAATGAGGAGACAATCAGTTTGGTGGAATATAATCAGGCAATACGCCACCTTCGTCGACATCTAAATCGACTTGACAACCACGCACTCCGAGTATCGCTGATAACATGTATGGTCTTTGCTTGCCTTGAGCTACTGAAGGGAGGCTTTAAAACTGGTCACGCGCACTTGAGCCACGGTATGCAACTCCTTCGAGAAATCCAAACACGCCAGGGGATCACATCGTTTGATGGTCCTATTATTTTGCGGATGCATCCTCAGTCGGTCGAGGATGCTTTAGTAGAGGTGTTTTCTCGACTTAACATCCAGGCAATGCTTTTCGGCCAAGTAACAGCGCACCTTATTTTCGTTGGTGAACGCGCACCAGACGGATCAAATTACAGTATTCCCTCGAAATTTCAAAACCATACTGAAGCTCGAAAATATCTTGATTCTCTTATCAACGGTGTCTATAACCTGACTCAGCAGACCAGAAATATCTTTCATGGTCATTTGCGGAACCCAGAGCACCTATATCGGTGGAAAGAGGGGCTCGACATCGCCCTGGAACAGTGGCTGCAGACTTACAATCACAGTCAGAGAGAATTACTTGCGAATCTCACGCCAAGAAAAATGTATCGTACACCTCTCCTACGTCTGTATCATACAATGGCCACGATCATGGTCGCAACCTCTTTGCGAGGCACCGATGAGATGATATTTGATTCGCATAACCTAGATTTTAGAGCTCTTCTTCGACAAGCTGTCGAGCTATGGGACATGATGCACAACGCATACTTGGCATTTAAAAAGCTAAGCGGATATGTAATGCCTGCAATTTGCTTCACCGCAGATATGGGTTTTATTCCTCCATTATACTACACGGTTGTCAAGTGTCGTCAGCCTAGCTTGCGGCGGATGGCCATTGAAATGCTCATGTCAGCTCCTCATCGAGAAGGGGCCTGGAGTGGCTCTCTTGTGGCTCGTATGGCGCAATATATCATGGCATTAGAAGAAGGGCGCATATATGAGGACCTTGATATCATGCCCACTTATCATATACAGCAAACTGAGGTGCCTGTTGTGCCCCACTTATCACGTTTCAACGATATTAATATTTCACTGCCTGAGCGTGTTGGGGGTAAAGCAACTTTATTTTTGAGCCGGTATCAAGGGATAGGAGGTTGGATCACGGACAGTCGACAATTCGATGTAACGTTGTATGATACTGTTTCTTCCCGCATTTGGGATTATGATGCAACCACTTATTTTGGCAAATTGTGGAATGGAGAGGATTACAAGAACTAATCAGCATATGGTTATCCAAGAACCGCGCAAGATTTTCCCACTGAAGTAACTAAATGATATTTGAATCTGAAGCTGAAGCTAAGGTTGATATATTGAGGCTTCATACAGCTACTATCCAAGATTTCTCCCAAATTATGCTATACAATGTCTGTGTGACCAATCTAGTGATGAAAATCAACAATTCTCCTCGGATTCCAAAGAAAAGGGAAGCTACTCGTCAATCGAAGATGGCGGAATAGGCTATTAAAATTAGTAAGAATTCAGTGTAATATTTTATTTTTATTATTATTTTTGTGGGCGCCCGCGGGGGGGAGGGGGGGGGGGGGGGGGGGGGGGTTTTGGGGAGCCCCGGGGGCCTGGGGGCGCGGGGGGGGGGGGAGGGGGACGGAGGGCCGCCGGGAGGGAAGAAGAAGAAGGGAAGAACGGCCAAGTCCGGCGTGGGAGCCTACCCGGGAGCCGCGGCAGGGCGGGCGCTTCAGCTCCAGG